CATATGTCCCATGGTTTCCCTTATTTGAAATAACTAGTATATGTCTGAGACAAGTAGAAACTGTCAGATAAGTTGATTTGAGGCGAAATGAACCCCAAGATAAGGCTTCAAACGTCTTTTTTTTCTTTTGCTTGTTTCTAATATATTTATAAGAAGATTATTTTTTTGTTGCTTTGTATGGCCTTCCTCCATGGTATAACCCCTGTTTTCACTATATTTGATGTTTATATAATTTGTGGAGGGGAAGGGAAAACCAAATTGTTTAAATAGGGATATAGGTGGACCCATTGCAACCATGAGATGTTCAAGACATTATGTCAAAAAGAACTTTACTACTTTACCTTGGGGTGGGGGGACACGGGGTGGGGGCAGATGGAAAGGGATGGGAAGGGGAAATAAAGGAGAAGGCAATTCTTGATAAGAAATGTACTCATTACATTGCCCATGTAATTGCAAACCCTCTGTACGGTATTTTCCCAATAAAAAAAGAGAAAATGTGATGTATATGTATATTTATGTATATATATATATGTATATGTATATATACGCGTGTGTGTGTATATATGTAATGGAATTCTATGCCTCTGTCAGAAAAATGACATCGCTCATTTGTAAGGAAATAGAAAGATGTGAAAAAAATTATATTAAGTGAAATATACCAGGCCCAAATAAACATAGGTGCCTTGTTTCCTTTACTTCCTTTCCTTGTAGTAACTAGTACATGGTACCATATGACCATATAAGATGATGTTAATTGAAATGAACCCCAAGATAGGGAGACAACTGATTTTTTAATCCATGAGATTCTTATCTCTATATAATCCCCAAAATAAAGTTGGAAGGGGAGCTTCAGTTCATGTATAGAGCACCACCTATTAGGGAAAAAGCTTAAGTGAGAAGGTAAGATCCTGAGTTTAAACCAAAATATCAGCTCTTAAAATAGTTGATTTCTTTTCCTTGAGGTTTTTATTAAATTGCTCGAAAATAATCAACATTGAATTTATGTTTAACACTACTATTAAAATCCAGTTATATTTATTGATGTTATTCTTTGTTTTCCTAAATTTTACTTACACGTTAATATCCAGTAATGGGAAGAGGTGACTATTGTTTCACAAGTTTTTATGGCAGTTGAATATGTGTATGATAGATGCATACAAGGAATTTGGACTGAAAATAGATATGTGCAAGCTCTTTACATAAAGAAATGATAGTTGAAGAAGCTGTGGGCATGTATGAAATAAACTAAAGAAACAGCAAGGAAAGATATGGTATGATTCTGGAAAACACACAATTTTGAAAGAAAAAAAACAAGTAAAATATGTAGCTTTAGTAAGAACTTTGTAACACACACACATTTTATTCCTTATTTCTACTGTAAGGCATTTCAGTAAAGTTTATTTTACAAAGTTAAACATGATTGACAATTAATATTAACAGGCTTCTGTGTCAGGTAAGCAACTATTCTAGCCAGTTGCCAGGGGTTCATGCTTATAATCCTAGCTACTCAGAGGGCTGAGAACTCTAGATCCTAGTTCAAAGCCAAGTTGAAGAGGAAAGTTGGTGAGACTTTTCTGTTCAATTAACCACGAGATAAGTGGAAGCCTCACTGTGGCTCAAAGTGCACGCACTAGCCTTGAGTAATAAATCTCAGAGACAGAACCTAGGCCCAGAGATTTAGCTCTCTGAAATTATTCTTAAAATACTTGTTCTCAGGATTCCTTTAACTTGTCTGGAAGAATGTTTTAAACTTAGGGATTTTTTATTTCATGTTATCATCATTGATTTTTAGGATGTGCAGAGAAAAATTATTTATAGTCAGAACTGGTTTATATTGCTTTGTATTACACATTCCCTCTACACCAGAGATCAGCTGGAAAGCAGATGGCCAAATCCTGGTGGTTGGCAATGAAGATACATATGTGTTCTTTGAGCAAAGAAACAAACTTATGAAATGGTAGCCTTTATATATAACACCTTAATAGTAACAATAAAATTAATGTTATTACTATTATTACTTTTTGTCATTTGTGGTGTTTGAACTCTGGGTCTGGTCATTGTCCCTCAGCTCTTCAGCTCAATTCTAGCATTCTACCACTTGAACAACAGTGCCACTTCACATTTTCTGAACCTTTAATTGGAGATAAGGGTCTCACAGACTTTCCTCCCTGGACTGGCTTTGAACAGAGCCTTTCAGTTCTCAGACTCTTTAGTAGCTAGAATTACAGGTGTGAGCCACTGGGCCCCGGCAGTAAAATTATTTTGGAAAAGATAAAAACCCAGATTGTATCCTTAAAAAATTACAATCTAGAAAGCGTATCTGTAATGTTAGTTGTGTCAAGTCACCATAGGCAGCAATCATTTTTAGATCTCACTATGTCTTATCTAATGCCAGATAATATTTCATTAATTTATTTTACTTTTTCCTAACAAAGTTCATCATGAATGGCTACAGCAAAATTTTCTAGTGAGCATCAACAATTCTTCAACATATTTATTTCAACAAACAACATTTTGCATTTAGTTGTTGTTGTTGTTTAATTTTGCCGGCGGTGGGGCTTGAAATTAGGGCCTGGGCCCTCTCCCTGAGCTTCTTTGATCCAGACTAGCACTCTACCAATTGAGCCACAGTACCAATTCCAATTTTTCTGCTTATGTCAATCTGAGGAATCAAATCAAGTGCTTCATGCATGTGAGGCCAGCTCTCTACCACTAACCACATTCCCAGTTATTGGGACTTTTGTTGTTGTTTTAAGATAGCATTTTACTATGTGTCCTTCTGTTGGCCTAAAACATAGGCTGGTCTCAAGCTAACTTCTAAATCATCCTCTCAAGTTCAGAGATTACAAACATTGACCACCATATTCTGCTCAGGATTCTTGGTGAGAGAATACTCTTTCTGATATAGAAAGAGTTATTCTGTCTTCCTTGGGCTCAATGGATTTTGCATTCAGCATTTTAATCACATTCTGTCGTGGTGTGTTTCCACTTCTAGATCAATAGAAATATTTCAGGTTCTGAACTTGAAGCTGATCCCTGCCATCCAGCAACATCACATTCTTGTGAATAGCACTAGCTGGCCTCATGAGCATAGCAGCCAGCTGGAGCTCAGCTATCTGATGGCTTGGGCTCCAACAATGCAATCATTTCTGTGCACAGACTGAAAACTGTCATAGGTAATTTTGATTTATTCCATTCTATTATCAGCTAAATTCTATTCTCAGCTTTGTATGCTTTAAAATCTCTTAAATATTAATTACTATTTTCCTACATTCTCAAAAGTAACATCTATGTCTTACTCTAAAATTCATTCAAGCATGCAAAAATATTAATGTAGTTGCTGTCGACCAATGGCTCATATTTTAAAACCTGGCTACTTTAGAGGAAAAATCGGAGGATCCTGGTTTAAAGCAGACTATGCAGAAAAATCTGAAACATTTCTCCAATTGAGAAACCAAAATCCTGAAGCTTTTCAACTTTTCTGCTTATCCAAGACATATACTAGTTATTGCAAATAAGGGATACCATGGGACCTATGTTTTTTTGGACTTGGCTTACATCAGTTAATATAATTTTTTCCAAGTCTTTCCATTTCCTAACAAATTGGGCGATGTCATTCTTTCTGATGGAGGCATAGAATTAATATATAGACATATATATATGTATATATATAGTATATGTGTGAGTGTGTGTGTGTACACACATATACACACAGAACATTTTCCTTTTTTGTTTTTTAGAGCAACTTAGTTTTCCACCTTCATCATTTTTTCAAATGTTTTTATTGTGATTAAGTGGTTACATAAGTTCCCAAATTTCACAATATTGTGGGATAGTGATGCTTAGTTAAAGTCACAAACACATTCTAACTTTGATGGAGCAAATTGTCTATTATGGTCTACAACATTTATGAGTTCTATGAGCTTTGCAAAAGAGTTATTTCTTCTATATGCATACTTCTTTGTTTTGAAATATGTATATTTTTTTGTTTTGTAAAACGTCAGCTGTTCCCTCTTTCCCACTTGTTCCCTCCCTCCCTGCAGTGACATGGAGTTGCTTTGTTCATTTTGGTCAATGTCCAGTGCAGCTGATGGATCCCGCTGGTGTATGTTTTTCCCTGATTCCCTCTAGTCCTGTGTCATCCTCCTGGTTTCCTTTCAGTGTGCACATATGATCAGCAGAATGGGGTTATTTAGTAGTGATTCGATCAGATGAGTGGAAGTTCTTGGTTTCTTAAGTGTTGTTAATTTTGTCATATCACCTTACATTTTGGATTTAACATCCACTTATCATGGAGACCATGTGCCGTTCGTCTATTGCTTTTGGCTTACCTCGCTCAACATAATTTCCTGTAACTTGATTGATTTCCCTGCTAAAGCCATTATTTTGTCCTTTCTAATGACTGGAAAATATTCCGTTGTGTGTAGTTACCACAGCTTTTGGATCTATTCATCTCTGGTGGGACATACGGGTTGTTTTCATATCCTGGCTATTGTGAACAGTGCTGCAATAAACATGGAGGTGCATGTGTCATTGAATATTGGTAACTGTTGTTCAGGATAGATGCCTAGAATTAGTATGAGTAGGCCATAAGGAAGGTCAATATTTAGCTTTCTGAGGACTCACTAGACTGCTTTCCAAAGTGGTTGTGTAAGTGTACATTCACACACACACACACACACACACACACACACACACACACACAGAATGTTTTCTTGATCATTCTTCTACTGAGGGGCATCGGGGTTGGTTTCATATCTTAGCTATGGCAAATAATGCTACAATGAACATTGTTGTGGTGGTAGTTTTAGTATGGACTTGTTTGTGATCATTTAGGGGAATGCCCAAAAGTGGGATTGCTGTGTAATAGGGGAGCTCTATGTGGAGTCTTTTGAGGAAACTCCAAACTGCTTTCCAAAGTGGATGAACAAGTTTACACTCCCACCAAGAATGCAGTAGGCTTCCCTTCTGGCCACATCCCTTCCAGCATCTGTTGTTGTAAAAATATGGAACGATTCACTAATTTGTGTGTCATCCTTGTGCAGGGATGTTAATCTTCTCTGTATGTTCCAATTTTATTGTATGTGCAGCCAGATTGAGCACAGAACATTTTTATATATATAAAGTGTAATTGATTTTCTTAAACTAGACAATTCAACAAAAAGTAAGAATTTTGAAATTTTAGAAACATTTATTTCTTACATAAGCATACATTTAAGAATAAAGTCAAGATTGACATGTCAAAAACAAAATAATTCCAGGTATTTGTTGTTCATGAGATGTATAGGAGGAGGAATTCAATTATTCTACACAAGGCACCTGTCATAGTGATCATTGAAGCAAATGTTAATGTTTGTTATAACTTTTAATGTATTAAATATGTTTAATTTTAGGATTTGCTTACATATGACAAAATTAAGACTGTTTGGCAGGTCATAAAATTTTTCAATAAAGTATATAATATTTCTAGTAGCAAGTAATAGTGAGTATGTACATTTCAGAGTTTATAGAAACTTTACTAATGAGAAGTAGCAAAGACTGTTTAAAGAAGCAGAGTGAAGAGTTAAGATTTAAAGTACACAGTTTCTGTTAAATCTTTAGGGCTCCCTTAAGTTATATGTTCGTGATGAACAAATAATGATATAAGCCACATACAAATGATGAGATGAACTATAAATAGTAATCTTAGTGGGTAAATTTAAAGGCTACTCATAGCATTATCCAATTTTAAATGTACAGGAATATGAGAAAATAGTAAAATCTACTATGTACACTTCAAAAACTGAAAACCCTGGTAATTGTTTTGTTTTTTATTTTAGTAATCATTAATATTTAATTATTTTTTCTTTATTTATAGCATTTTTTCCTCGTGATTAAGAGGTACTTTGAGAATATTATTGGGATAGCCACAATATTTTTCATAGGAGCATGTGAATTTACAAAGAGGAAAACTAAAAACAAAATATTGATTAAAAATTTTATCAAGTAGAGTCTGAATCAGGAGTGTTGATAAATGTCCACACCTAAAATCTTAACCCTAGGCTGAAGTAGTGGTATTACAGAATTGAGGTCACAAAATTGAGAAACTGTGTTGTGTTTTGTTTTTTTGCTTTGGTTTTGTTGGTTATGGGGCTTGAACGCTGGGTCTTGGGTACTGTCCCTCAGCTCTTCAGCTCACGGCTAGTGTTACCACTTGAGCCACAGCACCACTTTCATCTTTTTCTGCTTATGTCGTGCTGAGGAATGAAATTCAGGACCTCATGCATGCAAGTCAAACACTCTACCACTGAGCCACCTTCCCAGCACCTGAGAAACTGTGATTTAAAAAATCATCTGAACAATATTTTCTTTCTGCTTTGGGTTATATAATGAAATATGTAAACATATTTTTATACTTTTGGGAATTGTCATACTTCTAAATTTATACTAACTGCAGCCAATTTATTCTTTTCAAATTCAAGAAATATTTCTGAGAGTTTGCTTCTGTGAAGACTGTTTTTGCATTTATAATTTCTTCTGAGTCATTTTTATTTTTTATCAGAATCACTTTGTATTTTATGTTGATGAGTTATCATACATCAACTACCTTCAAATGTACATGCAGAGTCTCAATGTAGCAGTATGAATATTCTCATACACCTCTTGTTTATCTGTTATGCACTTTAAGTATTATATTTTTCTCTCTCTTTAACTCTCTCTCATTTCCTCTCTTTCTCTTTCATGCTCCATGTCTGCAACTTAGAATTTCTGCTGGTCTACTATTATCCTTCAAGATCCACTGGTTTTGTGGGAACATGATAGGGACCATCACTTACCCTTGCATTCTTTAGGAGTTATAACAGTGACGTGAAATTATTCTTTGCCATTCTAAATGGCAAAACAACAGATCTAGGAATTCCTTTTCACTTTTAGTACTCATAAATTTTATCTCATACGAATCATTGGAACTGATAAGATACTTTTAGCTTGGGACTTAAAAGTTCTTTTTCTTTTAAAAACAACTTTTTCTTTTATTATCAGTAAGTAACAAAAACAAAGCTATCCTATGGAAAATAGGCTGTAGTTGTTCATAGGGATGAAAAACAAGGTAATGGGGAAATTAAGTACAAAGGATACCCCTCATATAGCACAGATCCTCAGAGCAGTTTATCATGTACACTTTGTGATAAGGACAATGTGCTGGATGTGAACTCTATATTAAATCACTGAACACCTGATATATATTTATATGCATATATATTTATATATGTATATTTATTTATATATGCATATATGTGTATATAGGCCCATATATGTACACATGTATGTTACTATACACACAAATACACATAGTACACACATGTACACATGCACAAATGGAGAAAGACACATAGATATAGCCAACAAAATTTTCACTATTTGTTGAATATGCCTTTGACAGAATGCTTGATAACAAATGTATTGAAGATATATTTGTCTCTAAGAGTTCTTTTACCACTCCTCTTATCTCTTACAACTGGTAGGTTTAGAGAGATTCGAATTAAACAATGCAGTAAAAGTGCTAGCAAATCACTTGGAAATCTCAATAAGTATAGGTCATATGTTGTCTCCCTGCTCCCCATGGAATGCTTGCTCTTGTAGACACTCTCAACATTCAAAGTAGTAGGACAATATCCTTGTTAAGAATAAAGTTATAAGGCTTTAAATGGCATCCTTCCTTGGGCTCTTTTCCAACAGCCAGCATCAATTCCTAAGCAGATGAGTGACTCCCCAGAAGACTGGAGCACAGGTCAAAATTTAACTAACCCATATGAAAAGTTTAAAGTGAGAAATACTGACTGAGGTCGTGCTGATGTCCTGGCCACGAAAATGAGGAAAAAGAAAGTTTTTTATGTATTAAAATTTGAGAATAATTTGTAACCTGTCAATAAATGTGTAGAACGCAATTATACCAACTGACAAAAGATGATGTGCATTTCATTTTGTGCTTTTGGACTTGGAAAGTGTTTTTAAGTGTGTCTACACAAGTAGAATCAGCATAAAACAAGCAGGCATTTCTTCATTTGAGATACAAGGAAAGGATACAGGTTGACTCATTTTAACAATGAGATTTGCAAGATACTATTAGAGGGGGGTAGACGGAGGTGTTGGGGATGTGTGAAAGTAAGGAATACTAGGGGAAAATAAAGGAGGTGGTAACATTGCTCAATAAGAAATGTACTCATTACCTTACTTATGTAACTGTAACCCCTCTGTACAGTATCTTTACAATAAAATATATATTAAAAACATATAAGAAAAACTGTACATATAGCAAGTTGTATTTGTCACTCAATATAAGTAAAGAATTGGTTTTAGGACCACAAGCATACTAAAATTTTGGATGCTCAAATTCTCTACATAAACACAGTATATTATTTTCATTAGAATCTGCCCACAACCTAGTGCAGTGTAATTTCTGTGAAAATTTTTACTACATTCTATGTTTGTAATGGAAAATAAAACATATTAACTATCAACAGATACAAATTTATTTCAGATAATTTTTGTCTGCATTTTGTGCATGGAATTGCGAGAGCTAACTTGAAAAGCACAAATTTAATCACCAAGAGCTGTCTTCAAGATGTAACAAAGATCTAATACAGCGTCATTGAATGATATGGGACTCTAAGGAGAAGTACTTGAATTGAAACATTATCAGAAAGTGTAAGCAAGCAAAGAATATTTGGAAATGCAGCTGCTAGATTTCTCATGGAGAGCTTTTATAACATTTTGTGAAACACAAGTCAGAACCTCATGGAAGTGTAGACAACTTTCCTTCACCTTTCTGTCAATCTTGGTCATTATAATCTAGAATAATCCTGTAATAAGAAAATGTTTATGAGAAGTGGGGGAAGATGGTGGAGGAGAACCTGGAGGCTAAACAATCTCTCGCATAGAAAGCAGTTTTAGTGTTCCAGTGAACAGTACTAGGCTAGAGTATCACACTAAGTGTGCCATCACAGTACAGAGTTTGGCTAGAGAGGGAAAATCCAGGGAAGGAGACAGATCTGAGCAGTTGCTGTAGCCATGGCTGAGGCAGCATTGGTGGCTGCCATACCCACTCCGCCGTACATACAACAGAGAGGGTCCAGGACAAAGGCACCAGACACAGTGGGTGAGCAGATTTAACTCAACACCAGCAACAACTGAAAAGGATCAAATGAGTTAAACCATCTTAACAGGCCCATATCAAGCATTGAAATAGAAAAGGCAGTAAGAGACCTCTGTTCTTAGAAAAACCCAGAACCACATGGATTTACAGCAGAATTCTACAAGGTTTTCAAAGCAGAGCTCATACCAATACTCCTCCAACTCTTCAATGAAATTGAAAGAGAAAGTTCACGACCAAACTAATTCTATGATGCCATCATAACCCTCAACCCAAAACCAGGCAGGAACTCATCAAAGAAAGAGAATTATACACCCATTACTTTGATGAACATTGATGTCAAACTTCTCAACAAAATTTTGGCCAAACAATTCAACAATTCATCCAAAAAATTACATACCATGATCAAACAAGATTCAGTTCAGGTATGCAAAGCTGGTTCAATATACACAAATCAATTAATTAACACCACTTTATGATGAAGTTTCTTGATAAACTAGGAATCCAAAGAATATTCCTCAATAAAATAAAGGCTGTATATGACAAACCTACAGCCAGCATTATACTTAATTGTCAAAAAGTAAAGACATTTCCTCATAACTCAGAAATGAGACAAGGATGTCCACTCTCCCCACTTCTCTTCAATTTACTATTAGCATGCCTAGCTACAGCAATAAGAAAAGATGAAAACATAAAAGGGATTCAAACAGGGGAAGATGAAGTAAAACTCTCCCTCTTTGCAGATGACATGATCTTGTATTTAAAGAATCACACAGAGTCCACTCCAAAATTACTCAAGCTGATTCAAAACTCTGGCAAATTAGCAGGGTATAAAATTAACCCTCAAAAATCAATGGCTTTTCTGTATGCCAACAATGAGAAAAGAGTGGCTGAAATCAGAAAAGCAACTCCATTCTTAATAACCCCACAAAAATAGAATAGCAATGAATTAACTTAACCAAAGAAGTAAAGG